ATATATATTATACGATTGTATATGAATATATGTATATACTTATTATGGTACACCCTAAAACGCACACCTGTATCCTCATTGTCAATCGAAGGAGATGGCCATACCTTGAAGTCTTTAGCAAAGCGAGGCCTGATCGAGAAGCGCACACTCTCTACAGAAGAACTACTACGTTTTTGAAGATCTGTATTTATCGTTCGGCCAGTAGCGGATTGCTCATCGCCGCTTCGCAGATCCGTGGCATTTCCTTGATCTGTGGCAAAATAAGTTCTCGGTTTGCCGCGGTCAAACGTTTTGTCTGCAACGGGTGCGGTGGCGCTGTGGCCCTGTAAGCGTGTGCTTGTGTTTCGCCTATTGCTGTCGAGTGCTGCAGATGGTGTTGTGTGCGTGCTTCCGCGTGTGTCTCCGATGGTCGTGGTCGGTTTCGGTGTACCCATGCGTGTACCTACAGCAGTGCGTGCGTTTATTTGTTCTCCCGGTCGCCCTTCTGTGTCTGTGTGCATATTTGTTCTCATACGTTTATCAATATTCGTATTCATACCCCTAATCGAATCTGTATCCGTATGCGTATTTGTGCCTGCCTGGACATGACTCTTTCCTTGCGTGTCTTCGTTATTTCCCATGCCCTGCGTGTGTGGCTGTTGCGTTCTGGTGCCGTCTCTCACATCTTTTCTACACGCACCCACGTGCTTACGCATGACCACGTGGCGTACGATACATTCCCGCGCAAACTCAAGCACGTGCACATGGTTACCTCTCGCGTTGTCATGGTTACGGTTACTCTGTACCGGCCGATGCGGATTGGTTGTGTGTTGAGGGGGTGGTGGCTGCAGTAGTTGCTGATGTAATGATTGTAAGCCTGATACTAAGGATTGCTCCAGCAGTTTGGTCAGGAGGTGGCGTCGTATTCCGGCTACGGCTTCAGCTCCAATCACGGACTGCACAAAAAAAAAGAAAAAAAAGAAACTTAAAATTCAGTCCGACATTCGTATAACAACATCGTGGCAGTATAGATACATATACGAATTGATCCGGGTTCTTTTTATAGATTGCTCAAGGCTCACCAATATACACAGCTACTTTGATATGTACCGGTGGGTACATGAGGCGAAAAAATTTCGCATGTACATTCACATGATAGTATATACACTCACACACACACACACACACACACACACACACACAC